CCGCCAAAGGTTTGGCATCCTGGAGCTCGCTGCATCCTATAAACACCGGCTCCGGTGCATCCCTTCTCCCCATGCTTTGCTTCACCCCCCCAAAATGTGGGGCTGCTCTGTGCATGTTCTCCCCTCGCTGTCTCCCCCAAATCCTCCCCCCTGAAACCCAGAGAACTCCCCCATAAGGAAAATTTCCCAAAAGAAATTTAGGGTGTTTTCCCTCCTCCCTTTCTAGGGGGTCTCCCCAGTTTTTGGGGTTGCAGAGTCCCAGCAGTGGATGTTTGCAGGGTCCCTTTGCTCTGGGGTGGGAGGGGTTCAAGGCCCAGAGGTGCCACTTGGCAACATATCTGTGCCCCCCACATCTGTCAGAGGGGCTGAACCCCCCAAAATGTGCTGAGAAGAGATGGGGGGACCGCAGCTGGTCCCAGCTGAGGCTGAACAGGGTTTTGTCACCTGGTATTGTCCCCACCAAGGTCAAGACCCACCTCCAATCCCAGACAGTGGCGTCCATGGCTGTGGGCTACCAGCACCACCATGAGGTGAGTGGGGAGGGGGTCGGGCTGAGGGGGCACCCAGGATTTGGTGGCACCTTATCTGTGCACACTCCGGGCCCCAGCAGGCACGATGCTATTTTGGTCAGCAGGAATTTAAAGCTGTTGTTTGGCCGCTTGGCCCCGTAACGATGCTATAAATAACAGTGTGAGGACAGAGGGGGTGTGACGGGCACGTGAGGCTGGGACACCGAATCCAGAACCCCTGCGGTGCCTTCAAAGCCCTGGTGGCTTCGTGTCACCAACAACTAACGTGGCTTTTGGACGCTGGGGTGGGAAGTTTTGCCAGGGTGGGAAATTTTAGCCGTGTGTGGGACACACCATTCCCATTTTTCCCCGATTTCCTCTCTTCCCCAGAACATCGCCACCGCTTTCAGGAGCATCTACCGGCAGCACGGGGTGGTGGGGCTGTGGCGGGGGGTGACGGGTGCCATCCCCCGCGTGACCGTGGGCTCGGCCGTGCAACTCGCCACCTTCGCCTCCGCCAAGGACTGGGTCTGCGAGCGCCAGGTGAGGGGGACGCGCCGCTCCGGCCGCCGCTCCCCTGGTGTTCGGGCAGAGCTGACAGCGGCGCTCCCCGCAGTGGTTCAGGAAGGGCAGCTGGTCAGCAGTGCTGGCGGGGGGGATGGTGAGCAGCGTGGCTGTGGCCGTGGCGATGACGCCCTTCGACACGATCAGCACCCGCCTCTACAACCAGCCAGTGGATGCCGACGGCACGGTAAGGCCGTTCTGGGTACGGCAGAGGGAACGCGCGGCTTTTGCCGGGATTGTGTCTGGCAGGAGTGCACAGCCGACTCCTCTCTCCCCAGGGCAAGCTCTACCGGGGCTTTTTGGATTGTATCCTGCAAATCTCCCACAAAGAGGGGTTGCTGGGCTTGTACAAGGGCATCGGTGCCGTCTACTTCCGCCTCGGCCCCCACACCGTCCTCAGCCTCTTCTTTTGGGACAAGCTCAGGGACCTGGTGCGGCACTAGCAGCCACCGGGGCCAAAGGATGGGCTCCCACCACCACCAAAGACATTAATAAAGGGGTTTTTCTATTTTCGGCGTCGTTTTGGGGTTTTTGGGGTGGTGCGGGGGGGGGACAGCACCTGAAACGCTGCGATGCCTCGGGGTGAACGGCAGTGCCGGGGTGGAGGCGGCTGAAGGTGCTGGTGGTCCCCAAGCCCCTCCACGTGCATCCCATCACTGCCTTCCTCTCCTCGCCCTAATTTTCACCTCCATGGAGCAGCTGGAGCTGTGGCCGGAGCAGCTGAGCTCCAGCTGCTCTCGTTTGCCCCAGCAATGATTTACTAGCTGGGGTGGCCTCTCCCAGCCTCCGCCCCACGGACCTTGGAGCCGGGGCCTGGCCTGGCCGTGGCTCCTCTCCATTGAAAATGTTCTCCCTGGGGTCCTGGCTGCCAGCATTCCCTGGGCTGGCCTGGGGCTGGGCACTGCTGGATGCATTCCTGCAAGGTGAGAGCCCTGGGGGTGGCACGGGGGCAGCTCAGGGACAGGCCAGGGGACACCGGTGACCTGCTGCTACCTTTCCCCACAGGGCTGGTGGGTGCCTGCGCTGTCTCAGTGCTCTGCAGCCTCCTGAAGGTTTATCTCTACGTCCAGTGCCTGCAGTAAGCGCCGCCCGGGGCGGGGGAGGTTGGTTTTGGGCATCTGATATTGGGATCTGCTGTTGGAGGGGTGGCTCTTGGCACCCAGGGGTGCAGGGCAGGGCCTGGGAAGCACAGGGTGGGTGTCTCTAGGGCTGTCACCCCATTTTGGGTGACATGCCGCCTGGCTCAGCATTCCCCCCTCGCTGTCCCCAGCAACCCCGAGAGGCAGGCGGAGAAGGAGGCGATCCGGGAGCAGCGGGCGGTGCTGGAGCCGCTGCACGTGCTGGTGCTGACGGGGGTCCTGGCCCTGGTGGGCTCCCGCGTGGCCGCGCTGGTGGTGCTGGAGTTCTCCCTGCGCGCCGTGTCCACCGTCCTGTCCCACGGCAAGGTGAGATGGGATGGGGGAAACTGAGGCACAGTGTGGAGGGAGCTGGGAAATTGTGGATCTCTGGTGGATTTGTTCAACCCCCATGGGGGATGGAAAGGCTGTGGTGTGGAGGGTCCACGTGTCACTTTGCACATGAACCCAGGGTTAAGAGGCCGATGGCCCCGGGCTGGGCCCAGCCCAGGGGGGGCACAGGAACAGGGCAGGGCCTGTCCCTGTGCTGGGCATGTCCGCGGCACCTCCAGCCCCGGGGGCACCGCTGGCACCCTCCGGACAAGGAGGACCCGGAGGGGCTGGAG